GCCGCGCTCCCCGAGCCGCGCTCCCCGAGCCGCGCTCCCCGAGCCGCGCTCCCCGAGCCGCGCTCCCCGAGCCGCGCTCCCCGAGCCGCGCTCCCCGAGCCGCGCTCCCCGAGCCGCGCTCCCCGAGCCGCGCTCCCCGAGCCGCGCTCCCCCTCTCTCTCCTCTCTCTATCTCTCTTTAACTCTATCTCTTCCTACCCTCTCTCTATCTATCTCTCTCTAACTCTATCTTTTCCTTCTCTCTCTGCTCTCTCTCTCTCCCCTCCCTATCTATCTCTATCTCTCTCTACCCTCACTCTTCTCTCCCCTTAGCTCTCTACGTATATATATTTTACAAATTTACTGTAAAAAAAAATTACAAAAAAGTCAAAATTTTGGTAAAAGCGTAAAACCCAACTCTTCATTGTTCCTAATCGGCGAAAGAAGAAGATGACTAGTGACCGACTTCTTGTTGTCTCTGACAGCAAACACCTGAATCACAGATCTTAGAAAATCTGACAATGATTTTCGCTAAACAAAAATCAGATCTGAACCGAGTGACTTAACTTCAGCAGCTATAGGTACTCGAGGAGGACGGCGGCCATGTAAACCGGAGCTCCACCACCGTGTCTTTGAGCCTTTCTTCAGGAAACGGTGATTCTCCCGACGACCCGGAATTGGAGACCGGTTTGATCGATTTCGAAACCCTTCTTCACTTTTTCGGCAAGTTCTCCATTGCACAGAGACGGGATTGAAAGATTTACAAAGAGTTTTAGTGGAAGGAGGAGGTTGGAGATTTGTATTTTTGACATTTGCGGTCGGACATTTATATAATTGGAGAAAAGAAGAAAGAAGGGGATAATGGTTTAGTTTGTTTGTCTGAATTTAGTGTTTTTGAGTTTTTTTTTTTTTTTTTTGATCAAAGTGTTTTTGAGTTATGACTGGTTTTGTTGTCTGAATCTACTGTTTTTTTTTAGTTCTAGTGTGTTGCATATTTATAGAGAAGCTGACGCATTTCGTAACGGCTATATTTTCCTTAAGTTTTGAATCTGTTTCGATCGCCACAACGCGTGCGTTTCTCCTAACGGGTGATAAATTTGGAACCGAACCGGTCTTCCAACCACTTAAACCGATCTTTCAAGTTCTTCTCGAAGATGGTGCGTTGTTCCAGTTGAAATAATGACCAACGGTTATTATTATTTTTTTTTTATTTTGTTTTCGGCAATATTGTGCTGCTGGTGAAATATAACTTTATTGGCATAGTAGAAGTAAATAAAGTTTGACTCTTCTTCGTTCTTTTTAGTACATAGTATAGTATATAGAGGTGAGAATGGGAGAAAGGACTGACTCAACAACACATGCATGAAATACATCCCTATAAGATAAACCCGATAGTCTATCTTACAACGAACTTAGAAGGGTTGTACTATTATTTTGATTTTTGCTAAGTGTTTGTCATAACTTGAGATAGGACAGATGAGATGTTCCGTCGAGGCCTTTCTTAACGTATCCCTTTGTGTATTCTTCTAAAGTGAAGTCTCTGTAGATTGGAGGGTTTTCTTCAGAAAGAAGCTCTTTGATTGGTCCATAAACAGTTGAATTTGGAAGCAAATTCGTGGTGAAAAAACTCGCAACTGAAATCCTCGTTTCAGTTCTGTTCGAAAGCACCCTATGCTCCACGCTTATGAATTTGTCATTCGTTATTAACTGCATCTCAAAGGCATCTCTCAGTTTCATAACAAAAGCAAACATTGTTTGTTATAAAAAATATGCAAAATGTTGTAAACAAACGCAAATTAACCTAGAAAAAAAAACTTAAATAACAAAACAAGATTAAAGCAGATATCCGTTTTATATCAAAGATTAAAGCATATCAAAGGCATATCCGTTAATCATATTAGATCCGTAATTATATCACTTCAATTTAAATCACTTCCAAAATCACACAAAGAATGGATCAATGAGCTTTTACCTGCATGAAGTCTCCGATGTTGATGACAAGAGCCCCTGGAATAGGCGTGACATCGACCCAACAGTCTTGATGAAGAATTTGAAGGCCACCGACTTGGTCTTGAAGGAGAATAGTGAGGAAGGAGTTGTCTGAGTGATGGTTTGTGCCGATAGTTAAGTCAGGTTGAGGACATGGAGGGTAATAATGACATATCATAAGCAAACCCTTCATACAATCCATGCTCTTAAGCTTATCAGAACTCAAACCAAGAGCTTCTGACAAGAGTTCAAAGAGCAAAGCACCTAAACTCATCATATGCTTCCAGTGTTCAATCATAGCATCCCTAACTCAAATAACATAACGAATGTTATAGTTACAAATTACCAACATATAATATATAGATATCTAGTTATTCATTATATATATATATATATAGAAAGTGACATAGTAACATATATTCATATATATTATGATTCAAAATTAATATATTATCTTTTATATACATTATTTATTTCTAAACAGTACTATTTTGTATAATTTCTTGAAAGAGTTTTAAAAAAGATTAGGTATGTACCTGCAAACAACTGGGAGCTCTTCAGGGGCTGGAGTATCAGGAGCCATGTAACAAGCGAAACTGTCTCTCCAGTTAACACATGCAGTAGAACTATACAGATCAAAGTTACTATTGTACACAAACTTCTTGGTGGCTTCACGCGAGAAGTAAGACTTCTTGACCTCGAGATCTTGCTCAAAGAACCTTCTAACTCCATCTTGCATCTCTTCAAGAACGCTTAAAGGAACACCATGGTTGATCACCTGAAAAAAACCCCACTTCTCTGCAGCATCTTTGATCTTCTCAACGACACGTTCGCGTGACACGTGGATATCTGTAAAGTCGATGATAGGGATTGCGAGATTTGAGGTAGAAAGAGAGGGTGCCTTATCAGAGAAGGTACCTTGTGGGAGACGGAAGATACGAGGAACCTCGGTGATGTGAGCATCAACGAGACCTTTCACACCTTCTTTAGTCTCGTCAAAAGCTTTGCGTTCGTTGAAGTCTTTGGTTTCCATGTTTTTTCGTTCTTGAACCTAATTCAAGATTTTCTCACAAAGGCTGTGTCTTACATAGAATGAAAAAAGAAGAACGTTCTGGATCTTGATATGACCAAAGAGTATAAAAGAAAATTGGTTTTTGTGTGTTTCTGTGTGGTCAGTAAGTGATCGAGAGAGTGTTTATATAATATTTTGGTTAAGAGGTGAAGAAAAGATAGGTATTGTTGCATGGGACCGACAATGACCATTGGGTGATGTTGTTCGTTTTGGTTGATGATGACTGCTAAATGATGTCAGCATAAACATTCACAACTAGTTCATGCTGACGACAGTATAAACTCAGAAAACATCAACCTCATATATGAATTGTTCTTATTAAATGTCCGGTTTCGGTTGGTGAGAAGTTAGTAAAATTATATATGGAAGAGAATTGAAAGGAGGAAAATAGTGATGAGAAATGACGGTGAAAAGAATAAAACGCAATATTTTGTCATTCATTTTTGTTACATGCAAAATAGATGAAACAAAATGCATGTATGGTTTTATCACAATATCAGTGTTTAGTTTATCATTAAATAGATAAGTCTATCAACAGGAACTATTCATTCAAATTATTAAATAATATATTCATTATAAATATCGATGCTATCTCTTCAAGCTAGAATCCAAATTTGTGTGTTTGGCTACCTTAGTTTTGTTCGTTTTTGTTTATTCATTGTTTTGTTTTTTTTTTTTGGCTCAGTTTTATAAATAATATTTTTCTTGTTAACTAGTAACTTTTTATAATAATAGAGTGAATCTTCTAGATTACATGCCAATTTTTTTCAAGTTTGTTAGAAATAAAAATATAACTCCAGTTTAATTATATAGACAATTCTCTCAAATAACAATCTTTAAGTTTTTGTCATAAAAATAGTTTGCAAATGACCAAACTAACTTCTTCTTTAATTTAAAACTAGATCATAACCCGCCCGACTGGGCGGGTCTTTGTTTCTATGATATATATAAGATTTGAAAATTACAATTTAATGGTTCCAATTTTACTAAGTAATAGTCTACTGTTTAAACATTGTATTTTATCACTGTCTTGTATAACATGGACGTCGTAAAATGTTGTGACCTGTAAACATTTTAGTAATAGTTTAAAGTTTTTTTTGGTTTAATTTGGTGCAAAGTTATATACCCTAAATAATTTAGTCAAATTTTTAAGTTATTTTTTTAATGAAGAATTGGAAGGCTAGTATATCACTGTTAAAAACTTATAACAATATTCAATATAAATTATATAAATAAAATATATATTTATTTAAAACATGAATACATATATGTATAAATAATTTTTAAAAGTAAAGTATTATCAATGATAGAAAACCCAAAAACAATAATAATAGTACATTGGGCCACCATATTCTTTAGTTTAATAAATAAGACCATTAGATCTGTAGGCTATCTTTGTTTCCAATCATCATAATTTTAAATATTTATTATTCATGTTTCCAAACACTTAAATTTTTGTACTTCAGCTTTAATAGTATAGATTTGTAATATTTATCTTTTATTTTAAAAAATTTAAAACTCTAAACCCAAAACTCCACCCATAATTCTAAATCCTAATTTTAGATTAGTTAATTCAATGTATAAGTGCATATTTAACTTTTGATAAAAAAACATTTTGGTTATTTTCGTTAGATTATTTTTGTGAAAATAAATGAAAAAGCTATCCAAGGAGATTTCTCATTATATTATAGTTTGATTTTTAGTTAACGAATAACCTGGTTCAGATGGTTTGAGTATTAAAAATCGAAAACCATAAACCAATCAATCAATAAACTTCGGTTCGGTTTTCACTTAACCAGTTCGGTTTGTCCTTTTGATTAGAGATATATACAATGGAAATTATCTATAATAAAAAAAAAAACAGAATCAAAACAGAGGAAGAACAGAACATAAGATTTGTCCTGTCTCCGACGACAAACCAGACCTGCGAGACACCCTTGAGAGTTAGAGCGAAAATGGGTTTCTTCTCGTTTCTTGGGAGAGTTCTCTTCGCTTCTCTATTCATCCTCTCAGCTTGGCAAATGTGAGTTCTTTTTATTTAAATTCTTCCTCCCCTCTCGATCTCTGTTCTCTCGTTTCTGTGATATCATTTTTTTTTTTTTTTAAATTTGGTTTAAACGTATCTATAGTTGATCTAGGGCTTGTATATCTGATGAATCTAGCTTGACTTTGTGTACTTTTCCCATTACTTTCACGATCCAGATCTCTGTTTTTAAGATAAAAATTGATCCTTTAAATTCTGATGTAATTAGCATTGTAAAGTTTGTATTACAGTTACAAGAGACGTTTAATATCTTATCAATCAATGTAAAGTTTGATGCTTTTGATCTTTGCTTGAATGCTGACTAGTTAATGCTCACGAGGCTTTCTCATATATATACTAAATTGTGATCTTTTCATCTTGGGATTTATTGTTTTAGGTACAATGACTTTGGAGCTGATGGTGGTCCGGCAGCTAAAGAGTTGGCTCCAAAGCTTCATCTGACCAAATCACATCTCTCTTCCAGATTAGGAGTTACATTCCCCGACATTGAGGTATTCTCATGTTCCTTTTATGCTGTCTAGATTTATGTTTCCCTCTCTAACTTTGAGAACAAATCTTAAAAGGTGAAACAAGTGGTATGGGCAATTGTGGCTCTGAAAGGACTCGGTGGCTTACTCTTTGTTGTTGGCAACATCTTTGGTGCCTATCTTCTGGTTAGTACTCACTTCATCTCTTCCTTACAAATATTTAAAGCTTTGCTTAGTTGTTGTAACTTTGTATTGACATTGGTCTTTGTTTCTTAGGCTTTCTACTTGGTGGTTGTTAGTCCCATCTTATATGATTTCTACAACTATGGACCCAAGGACCGCCAATTCTCTCTTTTGTTGACTGAGTTCTTACAGGTTTGTCTAAACACTTCTCTTCATTTTACACATTCTTTGCTTGCTTTTGCCATGAACGTCTTGTTATTTGAGCTGAACTTGCTCTGAGTAAAGAATGTTCTTTCAATGAGTCTCATTCTTTTTGGATTATGATGTTTCATTGCAGAGTGTTGCGCTTCTGGGAGCACTGCTATTCTTTATCGGAATGAAGAACTCTACGACGACTTCCTCCTCCAAGCAGAACATAAACAAGAACCTGAAGAAGAGGACCCTCAAGCCTAAAGCTGCTTAAGAGTTCTTCTTTTCACTACCACACACACATGATTTAGAATAGCTTGTGATTTCTTCAAACATTGTTCTTCGTTACAAGTTTTGCTTCTTTTTCTTCTGTAGAACTCTAGAATTAGCCCCATTTTGTTTTTTTTTGTTTTTTTTTAACTTTGGGCATGCACTTCTTGGATCATACAATTACTTCCTGTGAGTTTCAAATTGGTTAAGCAGATAAGTTTTTTTTGGTCCATCAGTTAGAACTTAGAATGGTTTTAATTCGATAGTATTTTCCACAAATATATCATCTTTTACAAAAAAATGATGGTATTTTCATAAAACATATTTCCATGTTTACTAGAATTTCTGTTCAATGTATATTCCCACTCCTAATTTATAGTATGGTTCTAATCCAATGGACAAGCTTAATATGCGTGATTATAATATGATATCACATCAATAATTTTGTCGTATATGACCTTAGTTTTTTGATAAGGTTATTTCTAAATAATATAAACCGTTAATTAATTTTGTGACAATTATAATAAGAGACTGGCTAATTATTCAAAGACATGTTACCTTTTGTTTAAATCTAGAATATGATTCTTTTCATTATATGTGTGGTACACAAAATCACACAAAATTTAATAGCGGTTTAGATGATTTAGTCTAAAGTTTGTATAGGAAAAAAGGTTATATTATCTCCATTGTTTAAAGTTGATATGATCTTCTATCATTCTTTTTCTTTTAAAAACCATTTAGAAATTTATAGATACTAACAAAACATACGAGCAAGGCAAATACCTACAAACTAATTGGATGTTTTCAGAAACCAAAAATGAAAAGAGGAAAAAAGAGTAATTATAGTCTTCTTAAAGAGAATATAGTCAAGCTTATAGATTTATGAGTTTAATATACTAGTCAAAAGGAAAAATACTTTAAATACTAGAAAATAATAGGAAAAATAATCGTATAAGATTCGATCCTTTAACCAACATTCAAGCCAAGCACACTTGAATACACCCCTCTCTCTATATATAACACATTCTCACAGTAACACTCATAGACATAAAAACAATTTTGAAAAACAAAACACTGGCAATGTCATCCACGGCAAGAAACCGAAAGTCGAGTAGGCTGCAGCGGCGGGCTCCACCGCCTCTAAAGATAAACTCATCCGTAGCAAATTGGAAAGTGGTTATTCCTCTTTTATCACCTACGGAGTCACCGCCGCAGAAGCCACCAACGGCAATGAAGAGGGAGGAGCAACGGTTGGGGAAAGAGGTGGAGAAGCCGCCAGTTTTCAAGAAGTGGCAACACCCGGCGGCTCCGTTTTACTACCAGCCAGGGCCGTCCTCTAATCAACCGTTTGCATGGCCAAACTAATTAACGGTCTCTTAATACTATATAGGGCTACCACGTACATGCATATCTATATATGCTTTTTATGCCGACCATATAGGCATAAATAACCATATAAAAGTATATTTGGTTATGTAGCGTATACATATATCATCTTTATGCAATAACTCCCATTTTTTACCTTTTCCTTTTGATGAAAGATGCAATAATATGTTGGGTTTAAGTTACAAAAAAAAAAATATATATGTTGGGTTTGAAGTTGTTTCATATGGATAATTATATGTTGTGAACTAACTAATATATAGTTACTAACGAAAATCCAAGCAGAATTTATAGTACACGACTTCGTGATAATCGTGTGATTTCGTTTTATCTATCCATTCAATCTTTGCAAGCAGGATTAAAATGTTATACATATATAATGGAATTAGATGCAAATAAAATCATAGTATTTGGTTATATATGCAGTTTTCAACTTCAGAAATAAATGATCTCGTCCGGGACAATGTGATCACTAATTCACTAGATTTATCACATCAATAAATCTAGTGATCAGATCTAAAATAATTAACGGCATACATGTAAGTTGTAACTGTACCCCCTGTCAAGATCAAGAGATTGAAAAGACGGTTTACCTGTTAAAAATGACCAGTGCTTAAGAATTTAAGATATAGTAATAAAACGTTGTCTTGTGGTTTGTATAAACCTGAAAAAGTTAACTAGGTTTAACCTACCATGTAGGCAAAAGGAATGGTTCAGACTTGTTACATGTTAGATTAGATAACATAATTAGAAGTTAAATGTGTCGGGAGATGTTTTTTTTTCTCATTTTATTGTCAGTCACATCTGTGTCGTTAAATGTTTTAAGGAAGAAAACTAGTTACACGGTCCAAACAAAAATTAATAAAACAACTTATTAGCCTAAGCCTTAACACCTTTGTAAAAAATACTGATAAATTTAGATTAGCTATCTTTTTTTTTTGGGCAAACAGATTAGCTATCTTTAAACAGATACATATGGGATCTAATCGGCCCACATAAGCCCGCTGGACTTTTCAAAACTTTAAAAATGTATAAATTAGAGTCTATCTATGTGTATAAAAACTCCTGATTTTCAGATCCACATGTATACAAGTTAAGGTAATACTATATGTCTAAAATAGAAATTCAATACTGCAAAAGATTTGTTTCTTTATAAAGTAAATATTTATTTCACCCAAATATATATATATATACATATATATCTTTCTTATCATAAAACTGTTTAACATTTCATATCATAAATATTTCTTCTAGTATACATTTATTCTGAACTAAAAATAATAACAAAACGTAGATTTGTGTAGGAAACTAAACTAACCTATTTATGAATTATTTAACAATTATTCGGACATAGTAGTAATCAAACAAAAATTTAATTAGATTAATGTAATTTTTTTGACTAATCTCTTAAGTATATTGATTTTTTTTTTAAATAATAATTAAAAGAGATTTTATCGTGTGTGTTTTATTACCATGAGCTGATTCGTGCGACCTTTCTCTCTATAAATCTCTTTTTCCTTCTTCCGTCGTCATTTTTTTTTGGTTCTCTTTGGAGCTGCCATTAACCTATTCAAGGAATAAGCTTCTCTCCTCTCTCTTCCACCATCACAGGTTCGCGTCGATCTACACGATCATCCCTTAACCTATTATTCATTTCTTTATTCCTGCGAGAGCTTAGGTTCCTTATAACGAACAGTCTATTGTTTTCTCTCTAATCCGATAGCCGTTTTTTTCAATTTTTTTCTCGATCGTTGATTTTATCTTGGGGTTTTGTTAGGTTTCTTGAAATTGAGCGGGTTGTAAGGAGATTGTAGTTGATATATAAGAAATCGAATATTGGATTTGTTATTGTTGTTGTTGTTGTTGTTCAAATCTTATTTTCGTGATTGGAGTTTAGGGTTTATTGCTCTGTTGAATATCTGATTTAGGCTTTGAGATCGCTGAATATGATCCAATTGTAGGTTTTTGAAAGTGTCAAGAATCATATGATCAAATCTTGTTTCAGCTAGTTTGTTTCATTAGACTGTAAATGTATAATGTTTTAACAATCGGTCTTATTAGTTTTTGCTTTTTTTATATGTATAGTTGAAGTGTAGAGAGAGCTTTGACGGGAAAAAATAATCATAGTGGGGAATGGCAGAGAGTGTTGATGAGGATTCAGGAGTGGGAAGATCAGTAGTAGAGGAGAGTTCAAATGGACAATACAGTTTATCAGGAGAAGAACTCTCTCAGTGGAGATGTTCTACTCAAGTCGAGAATGGCACCCCATCCACTTCCCCCTCTTACTGGGATACCGATGATGATGATGATGACTATGGTACGTGTTTTTGGTTGTGGCTATCTTCAAAATGAATTTCTTCATACGTTGTACAAAGTGATAAGTGGTTGGACAGATGTGACTCAATGATACAGGCCATGAAGTTGTCTCGCATGTCTAAATTGTTCTTTTCGAAAAGTTTTGCATCAAAATTTAAAAACCGGCTACTTCCTCTCTTATATGTATCATTTACGTGTGCCTTATTATACTTCTATGTGAATTGTTTTTTAATTTTTTTGTCCCAGGCATTAAACCCTCTCAGTTATTTGTGAGACATAAATGGAAGATAGAGAAATTCTCAGAAATCAAGAAAAGGGAGCTCCGTAGCAGTGTTTTTGAAGCTGGCGGCTACAAATGGTACTTAATCTTTCTCATCCTTCCTTGAATTTTGTCTGACAATTAAAACTCGGATTCTGGTTTTTAAGGCTCTGTTTTCTTTGTCTTAATTTTGTCAGGTATATTTTAATTTATCCCCAAGGATGTGATGTTTGGCATCATCTCTCCTTGTTCCTCTGTGTTGCAAATCATGAAAAACTTCTTCCAGGTTTGTATTTTTTCTTCCTGTGGTCCGTATGGTCCCTTTTCTCTCTCTGGATGCATGGTCATGTAGGTTCTTTTGTTATCTTTGAGACAGGCTGGGGTCATTTTGCTCAGTTTACTATAACTGTGGCCAATAAAGATCCAAAGAACTCCAAGTTTTCAGGTGAATTTTTGAGCTCTAATTTGCTTGCCCCTTTTAAATATACAGACATTTGAACTCATCTCTTGCAGATACGCTGCACCGGTTCTGGAAGAAGGAGCATGATTGGGGATGGAAAAAGTTTATAGAGTCAGATAAGTTAAACGAGTTCATAGATGATTCTGGCACTCTTACAATTGAAGCTCAAGTTCAGGTCATCAGGTAATGCGAGGCTCACCTCTGTGTAGAGCATGACTAAAAATGACCTCGTCTATTTTGTCGATGCTACCATTCACTTGCATCTTCACAAGTTCATAATTTCTCAATTTTAATAATATGATAGGATTGTTTTCTTTATTTCCTATCTCACTGATTTATGTATTGTGGTTAATATCTCTGTAATTGGTTCTTTTGCAGGGAGAGGGTGGACCGACCTTTTCGGTGCCTTCATCGTGGTTATAGGAGAGAGCTTGTTAGGGTGTATTTGACAAATGTGGTGCAAAGTTGCCGAATTTTTGTGGAAGAGAAGAGAAGCAAGCTTGAGAGGTTGATAGAGGACAAGGCAAGATGGACGAGGTATTTCACATTGCAACTTGTACCCTTGACTCTCTAGCTTCCAAAAATGTAGTCTATTCCATTGCGTTTTGTGAAGATAAGTGAGCAGGAAGTAGCTGTAGTTACCTTTACTTTTGAAGAAACCTTGTTATGCTTACAATTAACATTTAAAAGATTCATTTGGTGGCTGTGGCTCTCCACTATCTGGGATTTACTAGTCTTGATAGCAAAGGAACTTGAGATGCTGTGACGGATAGTCCCTTAAAGACGATGTAGGAAAATTTTCTTAGTTCATACACCCATTTAGTATAGTACTGTTGCATATTTCATGTAATATCTTTACCTCTCAAGTTTAAGCAATTTTGCCTAAAAAGGAATGGATTATCATCCTTGGTTGCAGCTTCGGTGTTTTCTGGTTAGGGATGGACCAAAACTCCAGACGTCGGATGTCTAGAGAGAAAATGGACGTAATCCTAAAAGGAGTGGTAAAACACTTTTTCATTGAGAAGGAAGTTACATCCACTTTGGTGATGGATTTCCTGTATAGTGGATTGAAGGCTCTTGAAGGCCAAACTAAGAGCAAGAAGTCTAGGCCAAGATCGTTAGATCCCAAGGAATTGCCAGCTCCGATTGTTAGTGTGGACAAAGATATGTTCGTATTAGCTGACGATGTGCTGTTACTCCTAGAGAGAGCTGCCTTAGAACCATTGCCTCCAAATTCGGATAAAGGTCCCCGAAACCGTACAAAGGTCGGTTTCATGGGCTGTATATATATATATATTGGCAGCAATTTCGTTATCTGTGATTGTATCTCCATTCGTTTATTTTTATTTCATTTTGTGTTTTCAGAGGACTTGTTGCATTTTATTGAGAAAAATTGTTTTTGTTTTTCTATGCAAATCTAGGATATCAATAATGGAGAAGGGGACAACAGTGAAGCTATTGAGCGTGATGAGAGACGTTTAACGGAGTTGGGTCGACGAACTGTGGAGATATTTGTTCTTAGCCATATCTTCAAGTAACAATACATCAATATGTCTCTATACAGTATTCCATTGGGTTCGTCCTTCGCTGTGCTTATGTATCTCTAACAACTGCAGCAGCAAAATCGAGGTTGCATATCGTGAAGCTGTTGCGCTAAGAAGACAAGAAGAACTAATCCGTGAGGAAGAGGAAGAGTGGTTAGCAGAAACCGAACAGAGGGCCAAAAGGGGAGCAGCAGAGAGAGAGAAGAAATCGAAGAAGAAACAGGTGTGATACATTCTGCAGTTCCAAAAACTTGTTTTACTCCTTTTGCTTTTCCTATACAGCTTAGTGAATATTGATGAGAGTTTCTTTGGTTGTTGTAGGGGAAACAGAAACGGAACAAAAATAAAGGGAAGGACAAAAGAAAAGAAGAAAAGGTATCGTTTGCAACACATGAGAAGGATCTCGAGGAAAACCAACATGATGAGGAAGAAAAGGAGAAAGCACAATCCCTAGTTGAAAAGACTGATACTCTTGGTGATGTATCCGACATATCTGACTCTGTGGATGACTCTGCCGACATTCTTCACCCTGATTTAGAAGATGGGGACAGTAGTTCTGTTACTGACGCCTTGGAAATTCATCCTCCTCCAGCAAGTGGGAGCAGCAGAGAAGACGCCATTTCCATGTCTACACCCAATGGAATTGCAGAAAGAAAGAACCAGTCCACTATGGAAGATAGTTCCTCGACTTGTTCTAACGATTCTATCAGGTCTGGGTTTACCAATGGGTCCAAAGGGAATGCCTTGAATTTCCGAAACCAGAATTCGCTAAACAAGTAAGTTTGTATTCTACCTCCCCTTGCTTCTTCTGTCTTTCTGATTCGTGATGGTAAGATACTTTGTGGATTGCAGAGGAAAGAACCAACCAGGGAGTCAGAATTCTTCTCCCGAATCTGATTGGGTTGTTGTCTCCCACAACCAGGAGCCAGAGAGCTCTAGGAATCGTAGTCCTGTTGGGAAGGTTGGTCACTCATGGTTTTAGTGTTTGGAAATGGTTTAGATCACAAGTGAGATGGTGATTAAATTATTGTAAATTCCTTTTTTCAGGAACGCAACGTGGCTCAAATCATTGCGAACTCGGTTGACATGGATCGACCTAAAGAGAAGAGCGCTGCTGTACTTACTTCTCCAAGAATTGCTGCCAAGAATCCTTCACCATCAACTCAGACAAAACTGGAGAAAAAGAACGTTTCAGTGGCACCAAACAAGAAAGTAATGCCAGCAAGTGGACCACCTTCATCAAGTCAAGTAGATGTGCAAAAGATCCCTGCGCCAAAACAACCTGCAACAACTATAACAAGGCCTTCTAGTGCTCCGGTAATCCCTGCGATGCGACCTTCCCCTATTGTCGTCTCCTCGGTTCAACCAACAACATCTTTTCCTCGGTCGGTGAGCTCAGCTGGTCGTCTAGGTCCCGACTCTTCACTACACAACCAGCAAACTTTCACTCCGCAATCCTATAAACACGCCATTGTTGGTAACTCCCCTGGTTCATCATCTAGTTTTAACCACCACCCAAGCTCTCATGGAGTTGTCCCAACCTCATTGCCATCAGCATCTTACTCGCAAACACCAACATCATCTCATCAGTCAAGCTTCCCGTTCGGTCAAGATGGGCGCTTCTTGGGAGGAAGGAGTTTAAATTCTGTAAACATGGGCATGAACAACCCTTATACACCCACCGTGACTAGCAATAGCTCTCTGAACCACATTGGGCGACAACAAGCACAAAACCTGATGACCGACGAGTTCCCTCACATCGATATCATCAACGACCTGCTCGAAGACGAAAGCTACAGCAATGTGGTGTTTAATGGAAGCATGTTCAGTTCACAACCCCAGATGTTGGACAGGCAATACTCTTACCATGGTGGTGGTGCTGCTGCTGATTTTGGCATCTCAGGTGAGTTATTACAATCAAGTGGCAGATCAAGGAGTTTTGGAGAAGAGAGATACCACTACATGCGACATGGTGGTGTCTCTGGAGCCGGGCCATATGCAGATGGTTTGATACCGACGCAGTGGCAAATGGCGAACATGGATTTCTCTTTACGAGGTATGAGGAATAGTAGTAACTTGGGAGATACAACAGCATACCAGAGCGCATACCTTGGTTTGGACACTTCGAATCCGAGGATTAATGGCTACACTGAGTTCAGGCCGTCCAATGGTCACTGAATGCAATATTTGATCTCATGGATTATAGGTTTTTCAGGGATTTGGGACTTGTTACCTTTTTTTATATAAACAAAGTGATCATGATAATTACATTTCGTGTAAAGAGAGTTTGTGTTTCAACTGAATTTCGTTTCTTTTGTATACAATATAGTTTTTAACATTTCTATCAGACAAATTTTTGTCGTTGATTCTCCTACAAATGTAGATAAATAATATAAATACTAGGATAAGACCTGCGCCTTGCGCAGGGTGAATATATGTAATAAAAATATTAAATTTTAATATTTATAAATTTAAAATTTACATATGATTGTTTTTATATGTATTTGAAATTTTAAAATTTTAGAATTTTTATATCTATACGCATGATCAGAAAAAATTGTAGTTAGAACTGTAGATCAAATCTTAGAAGTTAATGGCCCCGATTTCATATATCTTTTCAATTTTTAGTGTTTGATTGGTAGAGTATTAGCAAGTTCCTAATACTTTTTTAAGAAGCAGTTGGTAAAATATTTGCATTTAAAATATATAAAGTTTCAAAACTAATTTAATATAATTTATTTATTGGTCTAATAATATTAGAAAACTATATTTTTTACAAATATTTTTTTTTAAATAATTTTATAAAAAATTAAGTTAAATTTTAAATTATTTTAAAAACAATATATTAATTTTTTCAAATACAAATAAACAATTTAAAATTAATTATGGTCATGATTTAACATAACCATAATGATTTAAAAAATTAAAAATTTTAAAAATTAACAAATTAAAAATTAACTCAGTTTTATATCATGACTTAACAATTTAAAAATTAATTATGGTTATGAGAAGTTTACGTTCACGTGCCAATCCTATTTATCTTCAGTTTTTTTCTTGTTGTATTTTTTTATATGTTGGTTATTACTCGATATAAATATTTATTTTGAAATTTATTCTTATTTTGTTTGTTTGTTTTGACCTGAAATTTAGAAAATACTTCAGATTTAAAATAATTAAAGAGTACATACTTAGGTTAAGATCTATACTTTATGCACATTAAGTATTTTATATTTATTATTTATTTTATATTTTTCTGCATATTATAAAATTATAAAATAATAAATATATATACTAAATAAGTAAGAAATCAGTCACTATTATGTAATAAATTGACGTATGCATATAAATTTAACTATCACTCTTGTTTATTCGCAATTAGGGTAAATAAATCAAAATAATAAATCTTATATATTGTATATGATATAAAATTAAATTTAAATGATATGAACATAGTAATATAGCACACTTTTAATATGAATATTTATTAAAAGAGGTTTCTACTCATATGATTTTATGATTATTTGCATATTTGTGTAACAAAACTTTACACCAACGATTTTTTTTAATGTGAGATGTTTAGTAGTTTCAATAATTTATAATCATTTAAAAAAAAAACAATGACATATTTCAAAATTAAAATATTAACTTTTCAATATATGTTCAAGGCAAATATCAAAATATAAGTATGTATTTTCATACGATGTATAGTTTAAATAAAACGATATGAAGTATATATAAACTAAAATTATTTCTTCATATGGACTTATAATCATTATATTTTAATATATAAAAAAATTAAAACCTTGATCCTAAAAGTTTATGTGAGACTTTTAACAGTCTTAGTAATTTATACTCATTTTGAAAAATTCGAAATACACTGTAATTGTATGATTAATGTAATTGTGTAATTTATTTTAATAATAAATAAATAAACAAAATGAGAAAACGTGTACAGATTGTTATCAAATCTTTATTGTTTAAAATCATTAATTGTCATATATATATTTTAATCATATTAGGTAATTCTGTAGGTTTTATTTAAGGAAATCATGCGAAACAATAAATATTTGATATATGCAACCAACTATAGCCTACGAAATATTATATTGCTAGATAATATAATTTTTAGACTATACATTATATCACATGCTCTAGAATCTTTGGGATTTGAAATAGAAGCCAAAGAGGTATGCCACATAGGATTGAAGTTATTTTTAATTCTTACAAACTTAAGGTTACAACTTTTTAAATGATTCTCAAATAATATATAGGGGATTTTAATAGTTTTAGTCATTTATTATCGTTTTTGAAAATTCAAAATATAACATATATGAAAAAATCTAAATTTTAATTTTATAGCTAATTTAATTTTTTATTTTATTTTACTAATATAAAATTAAACAAAAAATGATGGAAGAGATATAAATTATTATCAAATCTTTATTATTAGAATCATTAATTGTCATATATATATTAGTCATTTATGGTAATTCCGTAGGTTTTATTTAAGGAAAGAAAATAACATATCATATCATTATATCATATAGTTTGACTAACTAATGTGTCTAGCAACCTATAAAAATCCAATGTGGACTTACTTATTTTTCAATTGAATCTAATTGACTACCTAATTGAATGACACCTATGCATTGGGACCTCTTTTAATTAATACAAAATTGAGGTTACATCTTTTCAAATGTTTCTCAATTAATATATAAGGGATTTCAGTTTTTATTTTTTTGTAGTAATAAAAAGGAAAAACATAATATTCGTAAAATATATTGGTGACTTTTGTATCTCCAATTTAATTAACCTTATTGATGAGTTTCTACTCAATAAACTGAATTACAGTAATTCACTATTTAAAAAAGCTTAATTTAGTCTCAGGTTATCCAGTTTTCTAATCCATTTCTGGACGTGATAATAGAAAAAAAGAAAGATATGGGGTAATATAAAAATAAAGAGAATAGAGAGACCCGAAATAATAAATAAAGAAATCTTATACTAGGGTTCTCAGTGTTGTCTCATATATATAAGAGTGTTAGCAGAGCGAAACATCTTCCTTATTTATCGCCTCCAAAAGACCTAACGCAGACCATCGTCAAGCTAACCGTTTAGGGTTTAATCCTGTACTGAGATCTAATCATGGTTAGTTCTTCTGTCTCCTCATTCTGTTAAATGCATTCTCTAGTATCATTTTCTGATATTATCGTGAAACTATGAATGGTGTAGGCGGATGTTGAACCAGAGGTTGCTGCAGCAGGAGTCCCGAAGAAGAGGACGTTCAAGAAGTTTGCCTTCAAAGGAGTTGATCTCGATGCTCTTCTCGATATGTCTACTGATGACCTTGTCAAGCTCTTCCCTTCTCGTATTCGCAGAAGGTAAAAGACATTGATTAAAGAGTCTTTCCGACCGTAGATGATGATGTTCTGTAATGGATGTGTTTTATGTTTTTTTCTGACATTTTTTTTATTTGTCTGAAAATGGTTTTAGGTTTTCTAGAGGATTGACCAGGAAGCCAATGGCTTTGATTAAGAAGCTCCGTAAGGCGGTAAGTCATTTCGTTCCTCTGTAATGTCTCGTCTTTTGTTGCTATTGTTGTCTGATGGGCTTGAATCAGTTATGTTTTTACAGTTCGTATGTGATTGAATGATTCGTGATGATAGTTGTGGGTAATTGAATCTCTTAACTGTAACATTTTTTGTTGGAAAGTCTATTCAGAGTTGGGATGCATTGTACTTCATTATATAGTTTGATGCATTGTCTTAGATTCTCTTTAGAGAAACATTGGTATTATGTCTTAGCTTAAGCTTGTTTTACACCTTATTCTGGTCTTCCGTTTTCTCGTTTGTTGCGATCTCTTGTTTGTACCCTAGTTTAATTTGTTTGTCCAGTGAATAATTCACTGTATATTATTGAGTAAGCATAGTTTCTAATAGCACTGTGATTATGAGTTGCTGAACATTAGAAGATTAATTGTACTTATAAGCAACTAAGTGTAGTTTTCTTTTGGTTGGTATGTAGAAAAGGGAGGCACCACAAGGTGAGAAGCCAGAGCCAGTGAGAACTCATTTGAGGAACATGATCATTGTCCCTGAGATGATCGGAAGCATCATTGGAGTCTACAATGGAAAGACATTCAACCAGGTCGAGATCAAGCCTGAGATGATCGGTCACTACCTTGCTGAGTTCTCCATCTCATACAAGCCGGTTAAGCACGGTAGGCCTGGTGTTGGTGCTACCCACTCCTCCAGATTCATTCCCCTCAAGTGAAGAGCTTCTGCTAGTTCCGGAATGTGTCCTATCTTTACATGGTCTCTAGCTTTGTTTTCTCAAAGTTTGTTGACCCTTTTTGTTGTTGCTTTATGATTAAAACTTCTTTAGATACTCTTTCTCAACTATTATGTGAACAAGGATCTTAAAATCGAATCGTTTTGAGTTTAGTTTTAATTTCTCTAGGATTTTATTAGCAGATATACATTATCTACTCATAACAAGCTTAATAACTTAAGATAACAAGCTCCTTGGCTTCTTCTGGTATTGCGTTTGTCATGGTCACTAATCAGGCCGACGATGGATTTCTCTTGAATTTTAGTATTTCTATGGGCCGTCGAGTGACCAGAAACTTGATTGTTGTACAAGATATAATGTCTATCACAACTCACAATTATAACTCGTAAAGGCCTAATATCTAAGTTACATGCGATTTTCTTTTAATAAATAAAAAAGTGGTTCAAGCATACATTATTATATTGAACTTTTTAATAAAATAGTTAATGTGTTTGTATACATTGTCTTTAATCATATACTTACAGTTATTGTATGATTTTTATTCATTACTAATAGTAATGATTTGTGACACACACTGAGTAGATCTCGAATCAAGATTTATATTAGTCTAGAGAACAGTGGATAAGTTTTCCATCCAAGACATGCAAAAAATAGGTAACTATCATAATCAAAATTGTGTTGGTAAAGACTTTAGTTAGTTTCATAGTGAGTTATTTCACA